AGGAATTTCCATCTGCTGGCTGTGCGCCCACACTGCTCCACCGACTGTTTGTTTTGGGTTGCTTTTTTTGGATCCTTTGCAGCTTTTTTGCCTAACAAACGGCCCTCATTCCGTCAGGTATCTGTGAACACCGGCAGCTTTTCTTTTAGGAGCACCAAATACCTCCCACGAGAGGGGAGTGGTTTCAGGTGGAAGCTGGGAGGAGGGATGATTGCCACACAAAAGAGCAAAGGAATATGGGAGGCAAAAGAAATTAAGCTTACCTTGAAAATCTCCCTCTTTTATGCACAGGAGTGAGCTGGGCTGGCCGCACCTTGGCTTTCAGAGCAAGGGCAGGGAGTGCTCTCTGACTCAAGCAGGAAGGAGTACAAGCCAAGCTGGGAGAAAGGAATGTGCTCTGCTGTGCTGGGAAGACTTTGAGAAACTCGCCTTTCATCTGGTTATTGAGAACCTGAAGCGAATTTCTCTTTCCAGTACTGCTCGACCTGTGGTGTACAGACTTGGCGTCGTGATGCGTGGCCCCAGCTGGCTGGGTGCTGTGCTCTTCCTTGGGGTACAGCTCCGAGGTAAGGAAACCTGGTACTGCCTGGCCTCGGCTGCTCTCTCTGACTTTCCTCTCCTGATCCCTTAATTATCGTCCTCATTCAGGCAGCGGCTTTACAGGAGTCCCAGATACTTGTTGTGGACAACTGTTGTGATTCCTTTGGTCCGGGGTTGACTGCAAGTGACATAAAGTGATTGAGTTTCTTGGACAAACAGGTTCAGGTGTGTTCACGCGGAACGAGAACACTGATCTCATTCTGAGCTCTGGTTACAGTCTTTTCGCCTCCTGCCAGGAATCTGTACTTTACTCCTAGATGTTTTTTTTCACTATCTTTGTTACTTGAAAATCAGAGATTGTTAAGCAGCACTGGGTTTAGATCCTTTACACAGCAACGGTTCCAGACCCACAACAAACTTCCTTGGATTTTCAGTGGTTTATATCAATGCAACTGGAGTCTAAGAACACCATGTCCTCCTTTCCCAAAGCATCAGCACATGGATGTGCTCGGTGTCTTGAAAAAAGTGTTATGCTTGTTTCCCACAGTTTTTCTTTTGAAGGCATTTAAAATGAAAAGATCTGACAACTGAATCTTTGAATGAGAAACATGATCTCTGCCAATGAAGGTTTTCAAATGTGAACACTTTCAACATTTTGGTATTTCAAATGTTTTCTCCTTTGAGAAAAGAAACTATTTGGCCAGGAAGTTATTGGTTATACATGATTTTCAAATATAGAAATTGTATTGATTGTCTGTCTTACGAAGCCGTATTTTACAAGCCCAGATAAGCTGCATTTTTTTTTTTTTTTGTCTGGATTCACCCTGGGGTAAGATAACTCATTTTTCCAAAGTCACAGGAAATTATGAATACTTTCTTCTTCTGCCGAGTTAGTCTGACTGGTGAGGAAACAATCAGGAACAGGGACGACTGTCCTTTTCAGCAGCAGCAAGATTTTCAGCTCAGCGCTGCTCTGTTGTGGAAACCAACACACTAACTTGGACAGCTAAAGGGGTCAGGCAAGCAACATGGTAACTGCAGGGGGAAAAGGGGGAACTTAGAGCACCACAGTTTTGGAGGCACCAGCCTGTCAGGGTGACTGGGCTCTGGAACGGCAGGGCAAGCGTGAGGATGGGTAGGGCTCAGTTGTCAGAGGCATCTTCACCAGCAACCCTTCACTTTTCTTATTTTTCGTTTCTCTCCTTGCTGTGTCTCGATGCTCTCATTTTTGCTGATCGTCTCTCTTTCGGGGTAGCATTGAACTGCTGATGCTGACTTGTTTTTAAAGTGGCAGCTGTGGTGGTTTGGTTAACAGAGGATGTTTCTTTGACAAACAAATGCTTACCTAATTTACCTTGAGGATTTCCTGTAGAGTCTCCCTGCCTGACCGTATTTGACTACAGTTGTCTAGCTGGGCTATTAACCTTCTAACAGGCACCTCTTACATCAATAAAAGCAGTTTTTACCATGGCATGCGTGACTCTCGGGCTGATAATACAAAATGGAAAGTTCTAGCGTAGGAAATAGGAATTGTTTACTGGGGCTCGGCAGTCCTACTTGAAAGGGCAGGACTGCTTTTCTGAAGAAATCTGCCTGGGGAAACGAGTGCAATAGAGTGTAATCGCTTGTGAAAATACAACCAGGACAACCACATGAGAAGTTATGTGGTATCTCTAGTGCCAGTCAGGACCAAGTGTGTGTTTAAGGAGGGCTGGCATTTACAACAGCATTGCACCTCCTAGATGTCAAGTTTTGCTCATTGAAGAGGCACGTTTTCCCCCAAGGTAAAGTCTATTGTCCCTGTAGGCAAGTCCTTCTCAATGGTCCTTTCTCAACTAGTTATCAGTTCTGTAAGTGTGTAACTGGGCAGCCACAAAACTACTGAAGAAAGCACTGTACCAGCAGTCCAGCTGAATGGAAACCCCTCAAACTCCCTGCAGCTTGCACAGCAGCTGAGAAAAACCCGTGAAGCACCGGGGATCTCTTGGATTCTGCATACACAGGATCATCTCCCTCAGTAATTACATCTGTGTTTGTGATTGTCAGTTAAACATTGACAGGGATAGATAAGGCAGGCTCCCGCGTAGACTAAGCACAGATAAGGAAAAGTGGAGAGCTACTCCTAGAGAGTAGGTTTCTTTGCCCCTAACTCCTGTTGTTTGCCCTGCAGCACTGTGGCCGGTGGCAGCCATGGAAGTTCATACTTCCAAGGAGGTGGATGCTGTGAATGGCACTAACCTGAGGTTAAAATGCACCTTCTCCAGCAGCAGCCCTATTAGCCAGAAGCTGTCAGTGACCTGGAACTTCCAGCCAGAGGACCTGAGCTCTCATGAGCCAGTGAGTGAGACCTTTATGCTCCATTTCATTGATGTACATGTGCCCAGACAAACCAGTCCCAAGGCTCAGCACTGGGTAAGCCCAGTGACTGCAGACATTCCCGGTGTGGGTACGGGCAAGCGCGGCTGAAGCGCACAGGGTGCTGTCTTGTGAAATGGCCCCGGAGTTCATCTGAGAGTGACTGGGCCAACACAGCTCTCCTCAGCTCAGGGCATGTGCATCGGCCGGTGCCAGTCCACTTCCACATGCTGCTGCTTCTCACAAAGACTGTGCAGTGCGTAGGAATGACAGCTTCCTCTCCTTCTTGCAGGTATTTTATTATCTGAGTGAGCCCTACACTCTGTCTACAGGACGGTTTAAAGAGCGAGTCACCTGGGATGGGAATATTGAGCGTAATGATGTTTCCATCATCATCTGGAATTTGCAGCCCACCGACAACGGGACGTTCACCTGCCAGGTGAAGAACCCACCAGACGTTGATGGCACAATTGGTGAAGTGCGACTCAGAGTTGTGCAGAAAGGTAAGGGGCCAAGAAGCCACCAGAGGCGGTGTGAATTTAGTGAGTGCAAAGCACTGGCAGGTCTTCCTCCGCTTTGGGGAAAATATACGGAAGAAAAGGGTTTATAAAGGGAAAGTATGAGGCTAGTTAATGGATACAGGGGAAAAGGTGCCAGAGGAAAGATTGTGTTCACAGACCCGGGTTCGCAGCCTCCCATTGAGAGCCCCCTGTGTATCCCTCATGTTCATTTATCTGTTTCTCTCCATTCAGTGCATTTCTCAGAAATCCACTTCCTGGCTGTGGCCATTGGGTCTGCCTGTGTGGTGATGATCATTGTGGTGATGGTTGTGATTATCTGTCAACACCGTCGGAAGAAAGCGCAAGAGAAGAGGATCGAGGTGGCAGACACAGAACTGTAAGGGCAGAGGCGGGAAAGCAAGCCTTCTGGGAAAGCTTGTCAAATACGTTCTTGTAACTATTCCAAATCATTGCCTCGGACCCTTAACTAAGTGTCTACAATGCAAAACTGCCAGCACAATTAGCACTAATTGGCTGCTTACTTGCAGTCAGAACAGAGCGCCAGGGCGAACAAGCTTCAGAGCCCTCATTTTGCTCTAGCCCTTCTCTCTTGGAGAAGGATCCTGCTCTTGTGGTGGTAGTTGGCAGCTGATCACTCTGTTCGCTCCCCCATGAACCTGACACTGTGTGCAACGTGCTTGTGATCTTACCATAAAACTTCTTTTTATATGTAACCCAGAAAGTGACTGCTCAGTGTATTCGTGACTGATCTGGGATTTTTTCTTCATCTCCCCCCCTCTCCCCCTTTTTATAACAGGAGAGAGAAGGAGAATCTGAAGATTAGAGAAGAAAAGGAAGCCACTCCTTTGGAAGACTAGAGGTCTTTGATGGCAGGTATCCCTTCAAACATTGTCTAATTAACGTCTCAGTGTTAGTGCTGACTTTTTAAGACAGTTTCACTCAAGCATTTCACCTTTATAGCCATGGCAGCCGCAAACAGAAACACCTGAGACCACCGACACACTCTGCTCTTGAGGAGCCTTCAGAGAGCCTGGCAAGAGCAGAGGCAGTGTAGCCAGAACTCCCTCGTAACTGTAGAAGAGATTTCTCCACCTAAGTGTTGAGAATCATAAGTAGGGAAGCTGTTGCTGCTGCTTTCCGCGACATGCCTGCTCTGTGGCTAAAGCAGAGTGAATTAATTTCTTTTCACTAGTTTTCAATTTGCTTTTTCCTTCTTTTAATCTTTATTGTTTTAAAATTGCTACATGGAGACAGAAACTGTTTCCAGATTTGCTGGCTTTGCTGAAACACTTCAGCTTAATTTTTGCCCACTCAGTTTCTGAGGTCAGCGGTTGATTGTTTCTGTTTCCAACAATTACCCTGAGTAACGCATCTGGTTTGTTTTTCTTATAATCTTTTATTCTCAGGTACTACTAAAGGACATGGCAAAAGCTTGTAATTTTGGATGTTAGAACAAAGCCGAATGGCAGACGCCTCACGCTGTGAGCGTGGTACCCCTGCTCAACCTGAAATTCTTGCAAGGAAAGAGGACGACATTAACATAAGTTGTAAATTTCCTTCACTGAAGCAAGGCAGCGGGAACTTGCCCTATGAACAAGGAACTTCCCTTGATCTTCACACCTGCAGAACATGAAGCAAGCTGCTCTGAAGATGGGGAAATGCCAAAAGACTTGAACAAAATGCCAGGATAGCTGACTGAACAGAGATTTTCAAAGTGTCTAAGCAGACGTGCTCTCGCACCTTAAAAATCGCAAGGTGCATAGACATTGCCCTATTTTTCTTCCCTCAAAATCCTCCTTGCCATTACGCAAAGACATGAGGGATCAGAGGGACAGCCAGTTGCTGCACTATACTTTAAATCTCTGTGCTGCTTTAAACGGGAAGTGTTACAGTTTGGGAATGTATGCCGTTTCTTAATAGCGATAACATTTATTGGCGAGGGTGTGTTCTGTATCGCTCTCCTATAGCTTTGGTGGGCTTTATAACTGCGGTAGCTGAGGACATTGCTTTCTGCTGCTTCAGCAGCCCCCCTCCCCTTCCCAGTCCTGCTCTGCCGGTCCATCCCGCCGCTGGCGTCCTCTCCCGTGGGCTCCGCTGCCCTCGGAGGGAGCCCACCGGGCCCTCAGGGGCACAACTGGGGGCACCCTGAAGCTTTGGCTGGCAGTCGCACCCCAGGCTCGGCCTGCCCTACGCAAGTGATGCGCTGGCGTCCCTTGGCCGTCCATGGGTGCGCTCGGCGGCTCCGAGGGC